AGATAAAATATAGTTGTACAATGCAACTATGATATAAATATCCTTGAACGTTCTTTGTAGCATTTGTATGAACAATTTATTGTTTAAGTTTTTGAGTAACTATAAGAGCATGTTTAGTTTAATAAATACTTATAATTTTTTTAAGGGGGGGGGGGCAAAGCAACCAAAGGGAGCCGGCCCTGGTTGTAGGTTGCCAGGTTGAGCTCACAAATGGGTTGAAATTTGTATAATGTGTTGATTGTGTGAGTAGGATGCGTTTCATACAAGATCTGGCAACTGGACAACATTGGAATAATATATTGATCAGTCTGTGATATTGATGTGATTATTCATATTATGAGGTTTGGGCCATAAAATTACGGGAGCAGGAATTTTTTACATTTTAAAAAATGATTTTATCCTAATTGTTTTCTTTATTTGTTTACAACAACATGTTGTAATACATGCTAAACGTTCTGGCTTAAAGACTTGCAATAATGAAGCTTTAAAGGACAAGTTCGGTATTTTACACTTAAAGCCCTGTTTTAAGATCTGCTACCACAGAAACCGAAAATTCTCGGGCCAGCAGCATGTGTCCAAATTTCAATCTTAACCGTTCTATTTCATCAGAAACGATCTTAAAACAGGGCTTTAAGTGTAAAATACCGAACTTGTCCTGTAATGTTTTAGAGTCATAAATGACTCAGGCCCTGTTTAGGCCTGATATTAAGAAGCATTTTTGTCAATCTGATCACAAGTGGATGACACTGTAAACGGAGTTTAAAACATTTCGTCCACTTTCAATCAACTTCCAGAGCTAACCAAAAACGCATTGACCGGATTGCTTAAAGGGGTGGTATAATCCCCTTTTCACAAGATGTAAAATAAGTCTTTGATTTCCCCAGAGTGTGTATGTGAAGTTTTAACTCAAAATACCCGACAGATATTTTTACACAGCATTTTAAATTTTTTACTTTTTGAGGGTGAGCAAAAACGCACCGTTTTTGTGTGTGTCCCTTTAAATGGAAATGAGCTGCTGCTCCCGGCACAGAGGGCGGAGCTACAACATCTCATGTGTTAGCACCTTAGATTACCTCACACAGACATGCACTGAAAATTTCAAAAACTTTTAGCCTTTTATGTTCGAAAGGGGAGTCAGACAATGATGGAGAGACTCAAGAAGAAGTGACAAAATGTAGACAACATTTCTGAATTTATGTAGTCATGTGTAGTTTTATTCTAGTCATTGATTAGCATATTCTGTCATAATCTATAAATCGCATTCCCGGGGGCGGGGTTTATATAAATTTCAGGGTTCCTGATGTCACTAAGCCTGGAGAGAGTGTGGAGGGTAGGAAATTGTTATTTGATTTTTTGAAGGGGACTGGATTAGATAGGCGGATTTAGTATGAGTGAAAGTAAAGGGTAGATAAAGCCTGAAGATGGCAGTAATGCAACTCAATGGATGCCAACTGCCGTAAATCCAAAGAAGAAGAAGAAGAAGTCACTAAGCCGGGAGGAAGCTTGTGGAGTCCCTACCAGCCGTTTGTTTCCTTAAAAAGCTATTTCTTTATCTCCATTTGCTTTGAACGTTGAGCGTTGCAACTTTGCAGATGTTGTTTATGCTCAAACAGCATTATTACACACTAACTGAAGTAAGAAAAGTGAAATCATAATCAACCACCCTTTAATTCATAGTGTAGCTAAATGTTAATGTCGTCGAGCGAGTTTGAACAAGAACATAAGACCGCCTATTCTCCGCCTGCTGAACTAACGCGTAAACATTATGGGAAGCACGTTAGCTGATCAGCTAAATTTGGTTTGATCATGATGACAAAAAAACGTACTAAGCAAAGTGTGAGATAACATTGATCTCACCGTTCCTGATTTCTAAACGCACTCACCACGCTCGGCGTGGTCTTGCGGCAATCAGAGCAGAAACGAAACTTGTTGCTTGCTCTCAGAATGTTTTTCCATTGCAAATCTACAGATCCACACGCAGAAATAAAACATTTAATATAATTTTTCTAAGCATGTTTAACAGTGTTGCTTGCAGTAGTCTTCCGCCTGCAGAAATAGCGTCTTGCACGTAAGTTATTTTGTGGTTCATATAGCCTAACAGTTAAAGCGACAATGCTGCCAAGTAAAGATTGCATATAGCTCTAGAAGGTAGTTCCAGAGTCTCTTTGTGCTTAGTTGTAGACATTGTTTAATTCATGCATTGATTATAAGATCATGGACACTAAATTCAAGACATTAACTTAGAATTAAGTTACTTATTCCATCCTTTCTTTTTTTTAAATCACATTTATTAGTTCAGTGAAGTTATAGTGTCATGGGAGCTTGTCAAAATATTTCCCTAAAATCTGTTTCTCCTTTGTACTGTTTGCTTTTCATGCTATAGCTGAATTCATTATGAGGACATTCCACACACACAATCATCAGACTGAGTTTTCCATGCAGTGTACACATGGACATATTTCCTCTCTTTCTTCATATATCCAGAGTTGACTGCCATCTGCACCTCTGTTTGACTCCTTTGAGAAAAACAGCATCCTCCACACCAACATTGGGCCATCAATGTAGTGAAAGGTCAAATATTGTACTTAAAAAAACAAAACATGTATCCTGCCATTTAAACTGCTCTTAAAGCCCATGCAGGTATACTTAATTTTCCGCATTCCGCTGCATCCTGCGCACAGTTGAGTGCTTAAGCCTTTCAAAGTAAACTCTTTTGACCGTGAGCTCGTATAATATGCTTTTGTGGACCATTCTTTTCAAACGCTCAAATCACTCTCACATGAACTGCACACGTCTTCACACGGCGCAGACATCAGCGGACTGTGGTGATGATGAAAAAGATAAGTGAAGTATACATTGGACTTTACTTTGGACTTTTAGTTTAATATTAATGCAGCTGAAGACATCAAAGTAATCTGGTTAATTTCGGCTGTTTTCAGATTAGTATAATAAGCAGAACTTTTTCTTTGTTTTAGCAATTTTTGTGCAACTTTTTGCAATTTATTTCAGCAACTGTGCTGTGGATTTTTGAAATACTCATTAGCCAAAGTTTTTTTTAAACTTGTTGAAATTGCTATGTTGAAGGATATGTCACTTCAGAGAGCAATAAGCGAGAGAGGATAGGATGTTTTTGGATGGTCAGTGTTTGGATCAGGAGCAGGATTTTTTTTCTCTGAAGCTGTGGTTAAAGGTTTACCGTGCTGCGGCCCCGGGGGAGCATCTCACTTTCAAGCATGGATTTGTCTTGGTGGCTCCTCTTATCTCAGGAAACTGTTTATCGCCAGCTTCCCTTTCTCTTTGCTTTGTTTCTTCCCTCCACTTTTGCTTTCCTGTTTAGTTCTTCCTGTTGACATTATTTCTGGTTTACCATCTTTGTCCACCTCTCTGACCATGTGCTTCATTCAAAATAATCAACGAACTCTGTTTAAACTCTTACTAAGCAACATTTATTTCCTCGTCATGTCTTTCTCCTGCTCACCACATGCAGTTTCCCTCCAGCCGTCTCAGTGTTCCCCGCATGCAGTCTACCACTCACCTACATCCACCCACAATGCCATTACAGTAGCTTTCTTTCATACTCTGTCCTTCTCTTCCTTCCTTCCTTTCTGCTTTCTCTCCTCCTCTCTATGGCCTGTGACAGAAAGGATAATTAACGAGCATCATAAAGCGCTCTCTCTATTAGCCGTGCTGTGGTGAGTTTGCCAGCTCTGTCATTCTGAACAAAACCATGCGGCTCTTCTATTTGATCCGCACTTCAAAGAGGGATCCCCACTGTTCTCCGCTCAGCGCTCTAATTGTGTCCTCATTTTGGATGGGGCAAAAACCCCCAACTGCTTCAAAACCAGCCAGTGCAGGGCAGAGATAGCTCAGAGAGGGGACACACACTCAGATAACCGCTTTGGGAGAAGTTTTACTTTTACGTGTGATCAGTTTCGTGATTTTCCTAGTAATGCTTAGGACTTTAGGCTGAGAAATTGGTCTTGGATCAGTAGAGCAATATTTACTTAGTGCTCACAAAGGTCAGAAAAAAGTGTTGATTAAAGCTAATGAAGCTAACCTGTCTCTGCGAGCTATGAACAAAAAGGGCGTCAATAACCATGAAGGACACATTAACCATTCTCAAATGCCACTTGTTGTCCGATTAACGTGTTATACATGATGGATGAAGCCAAATTAAAATCACATTATCTGTTAGTCTGAATTGACAAAAACCAGACTGGTATGATTTCAGTCAGACTAAAGTATTTATTATTGCTTTAGTTCAACTGAAATTGTCCTTTTAAAGTGCATGTAAATGCATCTGCATTAACCAGAGTTAACGTCTGGTGTTATTCACTCTTGGTTGTGATGCCTGATTATAAGGAGCCCTACATGTGTTTGAGTTTGTGTATGTGTCTGGATGCTTGTTGTGTGTGCCTCATCAGATAAAACGGCATTCTTAAGTGGGGCACCACAGTTTCCCCTTTTTACAGCAGGAGCCCACAAGATAAAACACCACATCAGCATCCTTTTAATTACAAGACGAACCTTAAAAAAAATACGCTTATCCAGTAAGATGCTTTACTCCTAGAGCACAGCATACATTATATTGGGCTTCAATGAGTCTTTAATGATTTGTCCTTTAAGCGATTTTAAGCAAATTTGATATTTAAATTAGGTTATTTTCAGACTTTCTTAAAGATATAAGTCACCGCAAAATAAACATTCTGTCATAAATTACTCACCCCATGTCGTTCCAAACTGGTATGGCTATTTCTGCAGAAGACAAAAGAAGATATATATTTTGAAAAATGTTTTTTGTTCATATGATGAAAGTTATTGGGGTCCAATGTTGTGGAAAGTTAGTGGATCCCACAGACTTTCATTATATGGACAAAAACATTCTTCAAAATATCTTGAACAGAAGAAAGTCGTACAGGTTTGGAATGACATAAAGGTGAGTAAACGATGACCCAATTTGATTCTTTTCAACTATCCCTTTAAGATGGTGATGGCCATGGTGCTAATCTAGTGGGCATACACACTACACACATGCCAGCCTGCTGTCTCTCACCACCCTCCCCCAACACACACAACTGTCTCAGGCCCCCTTCTTCTGACACACAGCATGCTGGGTCTTTACAAAGCCCCATTCTGCAGCCGTCCCAGGACTCTGCACTGTACTGCAGGACTGTTGCCCTCTGCCCTCTCACACACCCAGCACTCTTTTGTCCCACAAGAAAAAAGCAACGGTCACGTGTCCACTGAACACTTCACAGCTGCTGGCCTTGTCCTCCTCTTGCTGTCTATCTGCTGAGATGTTTACAGGTGATTTAAAGCGATGGAATATGAATTATGTTTCTAAGACCATTTTGGAAATGTAACCGCAGAATTACTGCAGGACCATCATGAGAAGAGCCACAGGAAGGGTTATGAGATTGGATCATTTATAGATCAGATATTGAAAATGACAAGAACTTTCTGAAGAAAACCGCTACACAATGCTTTAATCGTTTCTTAGCAAAAAAAAACACAACAACTGTCGAGCCATTACAATTAATTAATGTCAGTACCTCCCGTCCCCCATATCATGTAGCCTACACACACAACCTCCTCCTCACGCAGGCTTCAAAAGCGATGATGGGAAAAGCCATCTCTCCGCTGGCCACTTCAAAGCACAGGAAGTGTGTCAAAGCGACTAGCCGGCTGGTTCCCAGCCCTTGCGTGTGTGTTAGTGTTTGAGCAAGAGAGAGAGAAAAAATATGTGTATGCAGGGTGTAATAACATGCTCATCTCTGTGCCTGTATATACGTGTGTTGGTTCAAAGCCAACCAGAATCCTGTGCTTTGAGAGACAGGATGTAAAATCTGCTGTGGTGTTGATGCCCCACTCTGGCATATGCACATGTTTGTATCAGGATGAGTTTTTCCAAGACCACGGACATGCACGACTTGTCCTGGAAAAGGCTCTCCTTGTACAGTAGAGAGTGATCCACTGGAATGTCTTTCTTCAGACCCTCTCAAACCTAATTCAGTTTTCATTAGAACGTTTTGTTCAGTTGGCATGTCTGTTTATGTCTGGCACCTAATATTAGTACTTTATTTATGTCACACTTTGCTTGCTTATGCCCAGTTGTTTGCACATTGCATGTGAAGTGAAGTTCTTTATAGAGATTGCAGGATGTTTTTTCAAGACTGCATCCATTTTAAACAATGAAATGATGCCATTGCCAGTAGACATGAAATAAATGGGTTTCCCAAAAGAATGGTGAGCTTCACCACAAACACATACTGTGCGTTTGTCATCGGTAGAACATTGTGCACAGAGAAAGAATCATCTTATGCTGCTGATTTGTATGAGAGATGACTTCTGTTCCTTTCTTCCCTCTCTTTGTGTCAGTGTAACCTGCATGTTCCGGTGTCAAGCTGTGGCTTCTTAATGCGCTGCATGTGGAGAGAGAAAGTCACAGTATTAGGGATTGGAGGAGTTAAAGTTGTAGTTCTTTTTCCCAAATAGTCTTTGAATGTCATATTTCACATTTCCATATGTACCTTTTTATTTGAATTTTAATAGCCTACATTTGATTTTTTTTTTTTTATAGTGTTGATCATTTTAGTGCTATAGGCCTAAGTGCCATATGCTTTGGCAATATTATAATTGTTAATACTGTCAATAAAGATAGATAGATAGATAGATAGATAGATAGATAGATAGATAGATAGATAGATAGATAGATAGATAGATAGATAGATAGATAGATAGATAGATAGATAGATAGATAGATAGATAGATTATCCGCAGGTATTTTTCTTCTGGCAGTCATTTCAGTCATATCATTTCAGTCAACATTACATTATAAAGTTTCATGCTAATTGTGCACAGAGTCCAATTTACAGTTCATCCAGTCAATCGTTTTTCACTCTTTAATGTTATTCAGCTCTTGTCCAAACCAGTGATTGCTGTCCGCTCGGCTGGACGTGTTTAGTGGACGTTTTTCCTGCCCATGGCGCCCACGGGGGGCTTTGCGCTGCTCTTTTTATATTTGGAGACTCCAAAAGAATCCCGCTTCCCTCTCATGTGCCGCCTCGGTCCAATCAGACGGAAGGAGAGGCGGCCTGCGCGAGGCGTCAATCACGCTCGCTGAGTGGCTGGAGCGCCTCTCGTCTCGTCCGCTGGAGCTGCAGATCACTCGATCCTCCGCCGCTGCTGGATGTGTACGGAGCCCGCGCGCTCTTCTTTAAGGACGCTCACAAATATCACATTCCTTCTGGATTGTTTTTCATTTCTGATGTTTCTCAATTGCTCTCCGATGCAGAGAAATGGGTAAACTTCATTCCAAACATGGTAAGACGGCATCTATTTGGTGTTGTAGAGCAAGTCTTTGATTTTAAAGCACTTGTGATATAGTTCTTTCGAGTAATAGCTTACATTTATACGACATCTTTTTCATTTTCAAAGCTGCTATTTGTAAAGCGAGGGAGAGTCCCGAAGGTGAGTAGCCTACACTTATTCATTATATAAATAATAGGCTAACTCTTTTTATTTTATTGATTTTATTGATAAAATAAAGCAGCACCGTTAAACATTTGGCGAAAACAAAAAGAAAAGCGTTAGAAACTATATTTGAAAACTGTTAACTTGTACACTGTAATAGTTGTAAAAATATGTAGCCTATAAATTGTGTTTTCTTTCTGTTTAGGCGATAGTTTTGTAGTTAACGCATGTTTGGCGAGAAAAGGACTGGATGACTGGATGGTTAAGCAGAAGTATTACTGCTCGAGCTCTCGTGTACAACAGCAGGACTGCCAGCAGAAAAATACCTACGGACTGTCTGCACGGGTACGTAGGCTACACGGCTTTAATAACTTCTTTATCACACGTGTGAAGATTTGGGACTTTTATGGAGAAATGTTGCGCACTTTGAAGCAAGGACGCTGTTGCAGTTGAAAGTTCGTATTTTAACTGATCAAAACCTTTGGTTGTGATTAAAGACATCGTTTACAACTATCGCAATACAACTCTTTTTCTTTCTGTTGATCTACATTAATTGCTTATGGGTAGTTGACATGATATGTCGAGCAGTTTTAGCGGTGTCCTGCGATGTGACGTGTGTGCTATAATCTAAAATTATGTTAAACAAAGAATTCCAATTATGTATCCTAATGGGCTACACATGCAATTTTATGACCTCAAATTAATTGAGAAACTAAATTTGAATATTTGTCATTTTAAAATGTAGGCTATTTATTATATCTCAAGACCAGTTAAAATGATTTTAGTCCATTTTTCTTTGCGCGAGTGTAGGCTACATTTTGAATGTCGATGTTGAATAGAAGTTAAAAGTTAATGGAAATATTACATGACAGCTACCCATATTCGGTTGATATGTTGCAGTGTGATCGCTGTTTCGAGGCCACACGCGCTAGCTAGCCTACTAGACCACCCAATTCACGCGCTTTGAAAACGATCTTGCCATTGTTTTGTGACGTCATCAAGAACAATAGTTTACTCTCTGGAAACACTCTGTAGTTTGAGCCCAACTATGAAAACCAGCGTCGTTATTACCAGCCGTGATTAAAAGAGAAACACTCTCTGAATACACGTTTCCCTTTAATGATGTCTGTTAAAACGCTCTCCACGGTTTCAGCTGCTGCCTTTGAAGCCAGAGGAGGAGATTTTGTGTTGTTGTTCCTTTGAATGATAGGAAGAGGAAAAGTCCAGACAGGTTCAGGGTGTCATTTTGAGGGGAAATATCAATGGGTAAATAAATAGCCTGAATACATTTGGTATCTTAAATGCGGAACATAGGCTATATTTGAAAGTATTGAATATTAATGTCTTTTTATTGCAAGCAAAAAAGTTGTGTGTTTGAATCTTGAATTTGCCCAACATGGAAAAGGTAGCAGTCGTGTTTAGACAAAAGGCGCGTCAACTTTTCACTGGCGGCTCACATGGGTAAATGGTTTATTTGAACGTGGTGGGAAGAACTGTGTGAGGGCTAGGAACAGATGCAAGTTCTCTCTGTAGGTAATAGATCACGGCGGGTTGAAAGCATTGCAGGCTGACAGTGTGGTGACAGCGCTGTATTGTGAAGTAGAGAGAGGGGTGGAGGGAGGGCCAGTCTGTCTCAGATTTGGCTTCCTAGTAAACACATAAGAGCACTGTCGTTTAGGAGAGGAGAAATCCTCTGGAAATACCTCAGAGTAAGCCTCTTTTGGTCAAGGGCTGTTGTGGAGTCTCGAAAGACATTTTTTAAGGGTTGGAGAGATAGCGAGAAATGCTGAGAGTGACAGAAAGAGAGAGAGGAAATATTAAACAGCAGGAGAGTACAGCCACAGCTTCTTAAAACCCAATCCTCATATGAGGACTCCCAAACACAACACAAACTTTCAGAATCAGGAATGTTGCTTGAGAAATGCTGCATTCGATTTCTTTCCTAAAAATCACTAAGAAAGTAATGGCAATAAACAGTGATTTGGCATGTAAGATGGCATGCATAATACTGCACTGCAAACAAAGACTTTGCAACAAAATTGAGAAGTGTGGATTTTAGATCTTGTGGTTAAAAGGGGAGAAAATAAGTTTAAGGTGCACGGAAAGCACAAAGTTCACACAGTTTGATGTTTATTACTGTGAGAATGAGGTTTTATTGTAGCTGGAGAGATCATAATGCACTGAACAACAGTTACAAAGTCTGAAATGACTTCATTGGTTTACCTGTTGTTTATTTAGGTATTCGGACTTGACCACACTTAACTTTAAAGCCAAACAGTCGTCCAGTTTTCTATTTCAACATTTGCCTTGCATTTCATTGCATCAATATGATAGTCTGCAAATGAACCAGGGATTGTCCAACAATACCTGATTGTTTTTCTTCTGATGTACTAATGAGGAGTTTAAGAAACAATAGCAGTACTGAGGAGTGTGTGTTTAGTTGGTGTGAAGTGATTTGTCCAGGCTGGGAAATGATCCCTACTGAAAGAATTCAAACATTTGAACAATCTTTTTAATCACATAAGCTTAATGGAGTGTTGGGATGAAAGAACGAGAGAAGGTGAGAATGTGTTTCAAATCATAATTATTTATTTTGAAATACTTATTTTGTTTTGACATAACAAAGAATCTCCAGAACAGTTTAATATTTTATGGAGTGATGGAATTTGAGGCTGGTTTAGCTGGAAGGAGGATTTGCATCCCTTTGTTGGTTCCCCCTTTTTAGATTGCAAGTGAACTATTTGAGAATGGTTCAACCATTATTGTTATTATTCTAGTGAGAAATGTTGATTGGATCAGTGTGTGGAGTTTTTACTGAAAAAGTGTTTTTCCTATTTTATTTATTTATTTGTTTTCTTATTGTTTCTTGAGCTTTAATGTAGCCACCACTTATTTCCTGATCGGAGATATTTTAGCATGATGTTGATACTATACTACATATATTATAAAATGAGATTGTCAAAAGTAATTACTTAAGTTAAACAATCTACTTATCTTTCTTACTGAGAAAAGCCATGGACTGGTTGAAGAAGAATAACCTGACTCCCTGAGCATGAAGAAAGCATAAACCTCACTCATAAAAGCAGGCTGATACTGGGACTAATAGAGGCTACCTGGAGAGTTAGTTATTTATAGCAGCTGTGTGTGTCTGTGTTGTTAATGTGGTTCAGATGGTATGGATGGTGGGGAGTCGGAGTCAGGAATCTGTTCGAGTGTGTTTGTGTTGTGCTGTGTTAACTAGCCTTCACACACACAACTTTCTTATGTAGATCTGCCCATTTTCCAGTCTACTTTGCATTGGTCCTGTGCCTTTTTGTAAATTACACAAGGTTTTGTTCAAAAAGAGGTGAGGGTCAGATTTGTGGCCTAGCTGTTAGCAGGTTGAGCTCTGGTTCTCATGTGGGAATGTAAATTTAAGTCTAGCTCCATCATTTCCTGTCCTCTATGCAGCTTTTCAGACCTACGTTTCACTTTTTGTATTCTGGTCTAAAGTCATTGCAGTGATGCTCTTGTTCCTTTAAAACCGATTGATTGGTGTTCTGTCATGTGGTGCAGCTTTTATCATTGTTGTGTTTGTGTGTTACACAGTCATGTTTATGTGTGTTAGTGCCATTACCAAGCTGTAGTAAACCTCAGCTATATTATAGTCATCATTTAAACAGAGACCAGACCTTCTTAAAAAAATTTAACACCACAGCGCTAAAACCTGTCCGAATTACATTATCAAAGAAGAAACTCAACATCATAGCTCTAAACTGCTTTTCTTACTGCTTTGAAATGTGGCTTTTGAAAACCACTCTGAAACCAGTTGGCACAGCAGTTCTAAACTAGGGCAAACCAGACATCACAGCTTTAAACATAATCTCTGCCACAGTCAAAAGCGGCCAATAGGTCAACTATAAACCAGGCTTGATCATGACTTTGAAAGCATTCTGTATCACTCTGTGTAGTATCGCTCAGGGACCAAACACTTTGAAGCCCAGATCAAACAGAGAACTGTAATTCTTAAAATAATTTCTTCAGGAATTTCAGAACTTTTGGGGAAAATTTTTGGATTCCAAAGATCGCTATTTAAACCCTTCCAGACAACATGCACACTTTTTCTTTTTCTTGCCTTTACTTCAGAGTTTTCTTTATTGTAGCACAAAGACTGACAGTGTATGCACTATATTCCTTTGTCTCTTTTATTCCCTTCACAATATCCAAAGTATTTCTTTCACTTTAAGCTTCAAGTGTGGTTGTCACACACTTACCATTATACTTTTTTCTTTTTACTTTCTGTTCTAGACGTCAGCTTTACCATGTCTCTCCAGGGCTGGTTAAGAAAGAATGACAGAAAGAGATTGAAAGACAGAGGGTGGGGGCGGAAGAGAAAAGCCATGTTTTTTTCTGTCTAAAAGAGAAAGAAAAAGGAAAAGGGTGCCTCCGGGGAGTGAGACAGCACCTGGCTCCAGTGTAGGGCTGTTGAGGGACTCCTATGAGAAAGGCAAATAGGATAAGAGACAAGAAGGGAACAGAGTTCTTCCAGGACCAGAATAGTAAAGAGACCTGCTGGTGGCTGCTCTGTCATCTACTCTATCAAGTATTTGACATTGTTTAATGTTAACATTACTGCTACAGACTGAACTCACTCCATTTTTCTTACATCCTGAAACATATCTGTCTGTTCAGAACTGAGGAAATAAAACATTTAGCACATTTCCTTTCCATACTTTGTGTGTGTGTGTGTGTGTACCTGGTAAACCCTACGGTTTGAGGACCAAATGTCCCCACAATTATAGTAATACCAGTAATTTTTGACCTTGCGGGGACATCTTGTTTGGTCCATGGGGAAAACGTTTTTTTTTTTTTTTTTTTGAAAATGTTAAAATGCTGATGTGTAGGTTTACCCATTTTTTTTATGAATAGAAGGTTCAAAATTACATAATTTATTTAAAATAGGATTTTTTTTTCAACATTGTAAAAGTCACATTTGATCGTTTTGCTGAATAAAACTTATTAAAAAATTCTTAGTGGCCCCAAACTTAACAACGTCAATGCCAACTGTAGCCTCATTAAAATGAATAAATGCTGGGCGAAGCGGAACTACAATCACATTATCTAGGTCTGTTAGTAAGAAACTTAATAAGAAACGTACTGGGGCTATTTTAGTTGAGTTTAAGTGCTGGCATTACGTTTTAAAAAGACAGATTATTGTTTATACTGAAATTAAACTATTTAAATGCATTGACTGTCATTGATTCATTCATTGAGGTTTATGAATGAGTCTGTATCAGGAATATCAGCTTGTGCACAACATCTATGTTGGGATAACCTGTAAAGAGATGTGGAACTTGAAAGGCAGC